ATCCCAGAAAGGAATTACAATGGAGCCTATGGGTAGCTGCATCGCCTACCGGCCAAAACAAGTGCAGCTAATATATTGGGGCCCTCTGAATTACCTAAGGGTTCCTCAAGGGTTTCTTTTAAAGGGGTTTAGAAGGATTACTATAAGGGTACTATAGGGGTTTAGTATAGGGGCCTGAATAAATTACCTATGTTTTTTTGGGGGTCCTTGTGATAATTACAGTGTAATGGGCCCCAAACCCTATTCTTATTATTTATTAAGGCCCCTATAGTATGGGCGGATTTGAGGAGCAGGCTAAGCTCGCCGACAGCACCTACGGCGGCTCAAGAGATCGTGGCGCAGGCAACGCCGACTGCGCAACAGATCAAGGTCAGATACACTGCCCTCGTCTTCAACATGCCTAGGGAGACGGACGGCAGCGACGACAAACAACGATCCCGAGATGTAGGTGCAGCAGCAAATCATAGTCCCGATAAACTCAGTGTGTTGTCGTGTATATTCCCCCCACAGGACTCTTCCTTAAAGGAACCCTCGTCTAATCAGTAGGCCTCGATATAAACCCGAAGCCCTGGACTGAAGGCCTTAAACCTCGTGGAGCATGGGAATCTCTTGTACAACGGTTTAGGGTTGGGGTTTAGAGTTTAAGGTGTAGGGTTGGGGTTTGAGTTATCATTATTTACGGTTTGGGGGTGCGCCTCCCAATCGTTGTAGGACTCGTCAACATACTTTGACCATTTGCCGCGGGGGTGGGTAATGTAATTCTGTTATCGCTGAACGCGGAACCCTTGTAGAGACGCTTCCAAGCCTTCAGAAGCCTCTTTAAACGGTATAAGGCTTGACCAACCCTCAAACCCGACACCCCAAACCTCTTAACACCTCGAAGGAAGAAAACCACTTATATAACCCGAGACGGCGGAAAAAACCCTAAACCTTCATCCGAAACCCTAAACCCCATACCCTAAACCCCTAAATCCCAAAGCCCTAAATTCTGAAGTCCCCCTAAACCCTAAACCATAAACACAAAAAAATCTGAAGTCAAAGGAACTTCCACTCTGACCATGACCATGCGCAACGCTTGGTGCACGGTGACACGGCAGAACCTAAGGGCTCATAGGGTTTCGGGTAATCCCTAAGGGTCCATGTATTCATATAGTATATACATTGGCCTTAATGTAGCCCCTATATAGGTGCATTGGGGCCCATGTATCTCTATATGGGTACATGGACCCTTAGGGGTAATGATATAGAAGCCTGAAACATTGCCAAGAATATTGGTAAGGGCTCACAGTACCCACAATGCCCTCAACGAAGGGTTGGCTCCTAGACTTCACGCCGACTCCACCCTAGGACATCTCAAAACGAATGCTGTTTTCTTGCCAAGAAACTTATTGCAGCTACCAGCATCGGGACATGGAATGTAGCAGATAGTTCGTGCCAAGGAGCTTATTGCAGCTACCATAACCGAGATATGTAGCAGATAATCTGCGTTCCTTCTTATGGCTCGGACCCAGAGTAGGCCCTTATTCCCTTTTTTAGGGTTTAGGTTCCCTTATACCCCCCCTTTAAACCAAAAAGGGCACCCTTTTTATTCCTAGGATACTCTTGGGTCTAGATGGTCTCTGTCGGTAGGGAGTTGGGGCTCAGGGAATTGCGACTTCGAGCCCCAACGCCTTAAACCGCAGCAGCCCAAACCCTAAACCCTGTTCTTTTCGGCTAATTACTCCTAGGTTTCGGGAGCTCATTGCTTTTTTGGGCCTTTTCTGGTATGGGTTCAGTGCCTAGGTTTCGGGTATGTTAAGCCTTATAACGCGACCTGTAGGATCTAGCGTGTCACAGCTCGCCAGCTTCAGTTGCGGGGAGAAGACGACCTCAGCGTGGGAAAGATGAGCGAATTCCGAGACACGAGCCTTGCATCAATTAACCCCAAGCCCTAAGCCCCACTCCCGTCTCAAGCCCTTCGCTTTAAGCTTGCTCCAATACCCACGACTACTTGGAGGTGCATGGGTAGATATATGTCGGGTCATAGCCCATATTTGGAGACTTATAACCCCACTTAGTAACCACCCATGAACCTCCAAGTAGCCCTTCTGTGAACAACGTGAGCGCCTCTTCAGCCTTGAGAAAGGGAGCATCGAGGGAGCTTGGGTAGAGGATGTTCCAAACTCTGACTCTATACAGATACATGTGTATATATATATATATAGAGAGTTGTATATCTATGTCTCTCTCTCTCTCTCTCTCTCTCTATATATATATATATATGTATATATATATATATATATATATACGCACATGCAACACACACACACACACTCTCTCTCTCTCTCTCTCTCTCTCTCTCTCTTTGTGTCTCTCTTGCAGGCTTGGGATTTCATAGTGAAACCGTAGTGTGGTGCTATCAAAGCCCTTGGAGTGAGACTTCGGATTGTTTGCAGCACCTGACGCCCGGAACTGGAGGCCAGATCTTCCCTGAATGTTATTCCTATAAGCTAGGGCTACAACGACTGAAACGCACGGTTTCGGATTCAATGGGCATGGCATCTTAGTTCCAGTATTTGCTAGAACGGCGGAGACAGCGCCCAAATGCTCTCCGTCTAGAATTCAGGTATTCTCAGGCTGCTTATCCTGCAATTGTCTCGGTCGGCCATAATTCTTCTTGAGAGACATGTCGATGCTGGTCGTACGGTTTGGGATTACACAAGTCAATCTGGTTTGTTTCTATTCTCCTACTGTATGTTCACAAGTCTTTTTGCAAGAACTCAGAGTTTAGAGGTAATTGGGATGGTTCTTCGGCGTGTAGTATAGGTGCTTGTTTCTTATCTTTGTTCCTGTTGCTGTTATCGTCACCGCTAGAAGCCCGACTGCTTCTCGACAGCTCCGGCCGTGGCTACTCTCATTTCTATTGCCCTTGCGATGGGTTGTTAGAACACTTCTTGCAATCACGTCCACTACCACTGCTGCCATTGTTGCTGCTGCTGCTGGTGCAGCAACAACAACTCTATACTACTATCTATCAATCCATCCATCTATCTGTTTGTCTGTGTACCTATCCGTTGACCTATCTATCTATCTCTATCTATCTATCTGTCGATCTATCTGCTTTGGCGATGACGACTCCTGCTGCTGCTGCTGACCGCTACGGCTACGGCTACTGCTACTGCTGCTACTACTACTACTACTACTACTGCTACTACTACTACTACTACTACGACGACGACTGGTACTACTGCTACTACTCATACTACGATTTTGGCCAATTCGTGCTACGACGAAGACCACGACTACCACCTCTGCCGCTGCTGCTGCTACTGCTAGTGCGCCCTCCTGCTACTGCTGTTCAACAGAAGAAGCAAGATTGACGTTCCCATTTCCAGCGTCCTTGTTTCTTGTATTCACTAGGAAGCCCCAGTAGTACCCTTATTCCCCTTTTGCAGTCCTAGGTTCCTTATAAAGTTACCGAATACCATTCCTAGCTTACTGGGCATCCTAGTTTTCAGCCCCTAAACCCTAAACCCTAATCCCTAATCCCTAAACCCTAAACCTAAATACAAGAATCTTGTGTTCAGGTATGTGCTCCAACGTGCCATCGGCGAGGGTGGCTATGGGACTGTGCCTTGCCTTTACCTTTACTGATTGCTGCAGGGATCCTTTAAAGGGGTCTACAAGGGCTACTATAAGGGATACGATGAGGGTATTATAGTATTGTGCTCAGACGTGTGGATTCGCGATTCGGAGTTTCTTTCCTCCAATGCAAGTTTGGCATTCTAGGGATGTCGCACAGACGCTGTCACCCAAAACTGCAAGTTGAGCAGTCGGGGAACCGGCATGAGCGCCCATCATCGCCACAGGGCTTAAGGAGAATCGTGCACACTATTCTTGGTCTTGCATCTCGCAGTCATGGCTAACGCCGGTTCGGATGTGGAGCTCCTGCTGGAGGAGCAGCGCCCGGAGGCCAGCAGCTTCACGTTTCCGCGACGGGTGGCCTTGGCGCTGGGCTTCGTGGGGCTTTTGGCAGTGGGCATTGTGGGCATCTTGGCACGCGGAGCCCGTGGCCTCCGCAGCAAGTCGGGTGCTTTCGTCGTCTTGGATGCCACGGCAGACTGCTTCGAGGCTTCCACCTACTACAGCAGCCCGATCAAGATGGCTGGAACGGAAAGGACCAGCGAGATGACGCAGGAGGCCTGCCAACAGCGTTGCTTCTCTGTGGACGGGTGTGCGCATTTCACCTTCTGGCCTGATGGAGGCTGCCTGTTGACAGATGAGTCATCAGTTGCTTCACCTGCCCCGGAGAAGCACGCCGAGACAGTCTCCGGACCACCATACTGCGGGGAGAAGCCGGCAGCTGTGGAGACCGATGTTGACATTGACGTTGAAGATGGGGAGGAGACGGCCAGTATTGAGACTCCTACGCTTGCTCCAGTTCCCACTGTGGCACCCTTGGTAGTTCCTGGCATCAACGGCACGACATGTGCCAAGTACCCCGCCTGTGTTGCTCACGGAATCGAGGAGGGGAATTGCTGCCCCAACGATGATAACGTGGCGCTTGGTTGCTGCATGGGATTTCCGCCAGTGGTCGCTGCGCCGAAGATCGCTGCTGGGACGGAATGCTCATCCTTTCCTTCGTGCGTCGCTCTCAACATCACTGGCGCTTGCTGCCCGACTCCTGATGGCACACGCCTAGGCTGCTGCGACTCGATCTAGACACGACTCTGCTCAATTCGGTGCTTTAGATTTTCTAGCTGTGGCTGGTGGCGATGACTGCTGCCATGGCACATGACTTCCGGCCTAGCATCCTGATTCTGCTGCTGGTGTGATTCTATTTCATCCTAATAATTTCTGTCAGCTACAAAGCGAAGAGGTGTTTCCAAGCTTATCCGGTTTCAACCTCGGATCAGGCCAGGCCTTAGCGGGATTCTCTCAAGGCAGGGTATCTCGATGCGTTGAAGTGTCCAGGAGACTGAGACAGCTTCCAGTATTGTCAATGCAAAGCGCTTTGGAAAATGGAGCAGAAGACAAGTGGAGAGCAGCCATATGCCAGACTGATGCCAGCCCCTTAATCGATGACTCCGAAGCAGTAAACCGGTTCAGCGTCGCAGAAGTCTCGTCGACAGTGCACAACGGAACTCTTCCGTTCCAGACTCGTCTCTGCGAAGCTGACTCTACGAATCCGCTTTGTCTAGCCCTCGACGACCCTAATCATACTCTACCCATAGGCCCCAAAGTAGTTCCTTTTTAAGAATACCTATTAGGATTCTATATATGAACCCCAAAAAGGAACTACTTTGGGGCCTTAGGGTAAAAAGGTCCTAACTTTGGCCAAGGTGCAGCTTATCAAGAACAAGGCTTCTGGAAAGCTGTTGGCGATGAAGTGCCCTGGTGGCAAGAGGTCTTCAGAGAGCCCCATGCCCCTTTAAATGAGTATCTTACGTGACAAAATCCTCAAACGATAGGCCGATAGGCGTAGACATGGGCGGGTATGACTGTGTATATGCACAAATACAGAAATAGTTATACAAAATATCAGTATATATGTGTATGTACACAGAAATATGCACATATAGGTATACTTACGGACTTTGGACCCAGGGCTCACCCTCAGGCTGTGGATGGGATGTGTTCAGGCATCTGGCAGAAAGTGCTGCTTGCGATCTAGGGAGGCAGTCTCTCAAAGGGAAAAAGGAGGGACCCTTAATGGGGACCCCTACCCTATAATGGGCTATATAATGGTCATACCATAGCCAGCACCAAGTAGTTGCCTCCTTCTTAGAGGCACAACAAGTTGGCTCGAACCGGACATGTGGTCGGTTTCCGGTTTTGCTTTGGGAACATAGAGCTCCGTTGTTCTACAGCATCTAAACATGTTGAGCTTTCCTTGTGTCTGTATTTTCTTTTAAGTATGCACCATCATCATCGTCATCATCATCATCACCCTTATCACCACTATCATCACCACCGTCATCAGCATCGTCATCGTCGTCGTCGTCATCATCATCATCATCATCATCATCCGCTTCATCGCCATCGCCTGCACCTTCCTGCATCGGCACTATCACCACCACGATGATGATCATCATCTTCATCATCGGCGTCATCCTCGTCAGCACCGTCACCCCCACGCTCCAGGGCATCAACAGCACCATCACCATCATGACATCACTGTCAACACCGTCATCGCAATCATCATCATCACCACCACCATCATCACTATCATCGTGACTTTTCGCGATCTTGCATCACTTCCCAACCATGTGCTTCCGCTTTCCCCAGCCGTGCAACTGAGCTTGAGCGACTAGACATACACCCGGAGCCGTACAGGGCTTCGATAGGTCAGATGATCTCTGTTGCCTGCCCACTTGATACTTGGAAGCCCGCTATTTCCACATAGGCCCAGGTTTGCAGCTGAGGGTCATTGAGGGCTTAGGGTTTGAGGGTAAATGGGGCAGAGTCTCTTCCACATCCAATCGTAGCGAAATTTTGCTCGCGAGGCATTCCAATGCCCACCCAGCCAGTGAGTGCCCAGGTTCTTTGTTGTGAGTCAGAGTGCCGTAGCAGTTTGCGAATGCGGCAAGACAACTGCTGCTGCCACCTCTGGAACGAGAACAACAACTACCAATATTTTCTGCTGCTGCTGCTGCTGCTGAAGCAAGATTACCCTAAACCGTAAACCCTAACCGTAACCGTCTAATTTCCCGATGAAGAACGTAGCCTTTGCTGCAAAGCCCCAGGGGCATCCTCAAAGCCCTTGGGGATACAATATTTAGGGTTCCAAAAGGACCCAAACATAAACTTTTGGGCGGGATATCCCCACCTCATTGCCTTGTTTATAAAGGGGTTTAATTATGGGATATCCCAGCCTCTTGGTTTTTGTTTGGGTACCTCTTTGTGTCCCTATATATTACAATCTCCGCATTTCAGTTCCCCCCAAAGGGTCCATGTACCCATAGAGAGATACATGGGCCCCACTGTACATATATAGGGACTACATGAAGGCCAATGTATATACTATATAGCTACATGGACCCTTAGGGTCCTATAGGCTTCAGACCCAAAGGCCCGGGGTTTCAGGGCTGAATGCATATGGGAGTTTGCGAAAAATAGTGATACCTTATTTTGTGGGGGTCCTTAAAAAAGGATCCTACTATATAGGGTGCTATATTAGGGCCCCTTGTACATATTTCGATCAGAGCCTTGAGGGTTCAGGGTTTGCAATTCCCAAAGGGTCCAAAGTACCTATGTAGTAGAATGCGGGGTTTCTATATCAGGAATTACTACTATGATTTGGGGAAGTATTCCCCATGACAGCACCTAGGACCCTTTGGGATTCTGCGTTTGCCTTCTGATCACAGGCGGGTGCAACAAAACAAGCACACGTCCGCCGAGCTGGCCGTTTTCAAGGCAAGAGCAGGTAGAAGGGAGACCTTAAGGGTCCATGTACCCATATAGAGATCCTTTAAGGGTACCATAAGGGATCTATAAGGGTTCGATGAGTGTTTAGGGTATAATTAAGGGTCCATGTACCCATAGAGAGATACATGGGCCCCACTGTACCTATATAGGGACTACATGAAGGCCAATCTACATACTATATAGCTACATGGACCCTTAGGGAGAGTTTGCCTAGATCCCGCAACTACCCTCTATCTCGCTTCAAAATACCCTCTACTAGGCACCGTAACAGCTTCATGAAAGGGTACCCGGGTACCTGGGGGTCCTGGTGTGGTGCCTTGTTTCGGAGGCAGTTGGGTGGGCTTGGGATCTGACCCTAGGCTCTTGGACTCATAGAGCTGGTCATGCCAGAGTTGTTCTGCAATCATCTAGGGAGTTTCCCAAATGGCCATAAACACTGAACCGGAACCTGTCGGTGCTCTCGAAGTCGGAAGAGGGGAAGCTTGGGCACATGTTGTGTTTTGAAGTTATATATATTTATATACACATACATACATACATACATCCATGCATACATACATACATACATATACTCTTAGATGTATGTATGTATTATGTATGTATGTACTGTATGTGTTTATGTATGTATGTATGTATGTATGTATGTATGTATGTAGTTATGTTTAATTACAACATATGGACATAGGGATGTACGTGTGTGTGTGCGTGTGTGTGTGTGTGTGTGTGTGTGTGTGTGTGTGTCTGTGTGTGTGTGTGTTTGTGTGTGTGTGTGTGTGTGTGCTTGTGCGTGTTGCTCCCTTCCCCGCTGCAGTTTTACATTTGTTTATGTGCACGCTTTGTTGTGGTTGCTGTCATATGTAACTTTGTTGTTTGCCTTGCTGTTGTTTGAGTTTGTTTTCCGTGTTTACTCTGCCTTTCAGCAAGTTTGATCCAGTACTTAAACAGATTTCTCACATACCCAGGCCGTACATGCTGACATGCACAGTGTATGTATGCATGTATGTATATACGTATGCATGTATGCATGTACGCACAGACCGTTTATGTTTGCATGCATGTCTGAATTCATGTGGGTATGATTAGGTGTGTATATGTATGCATATACAGAGACGCACGTATTTATCTACATGCATGTCTGTATATGTCTGTGTATGTATGTATGTACGTAGGAAGTAGGTATGTATGTATGTGTAGACACACAGAGATATCTATGTCGTCGTCTGCTCGGTTACTGGTCCCCAAGTGTCCGTCTCTGCGTTTATTGTTGGTTAGCTGGCGAGATAGACAGATGATGGACGGGCGAATATAGGACCCCACACATTGCATAGACACGCACGTGTAGGTTGAACACCAGCTTAGGTCACCTAAGATCACCCACCTGGGCCTGTGAGAGCCCTATCTTCGCGGCGAAGGTTCTCGACAATCCATACATCGTCCGCCTTTACAACATCCTCCAGGAGACACTGGCACTGTGCGGTTATTAAGTAACACGGATCAGTAGCTGATGCAAGGCTCGCGGTTCATACACATGGGTCGTTCTCTAAATTGACACCCCGTTTGTGTGATCAAAATAGTATGGGGCCCGAAAAAAGGTATCGAAAAAAGCCCCTAACTTAGAGAACTATACCCATTTGGTGATATATGGCACGTTGGCAGCTGTTGAATGTCCGCGCCATGCCTTGGACCTTGAACGCTACACTTGGGCTTAGGGTTTAGGGTTCAGGGTTTAGGGTTTAGGGTGTAGCTCTACATCTTAGTAGCTCCCCATGAAAAGTGTGTAAACGGCTGGTTTCTTGCTGCTGGAGGCTTGTACCTAGCCTTCAGATTTTCAGGACAGGCAAGGCCGTCCATGATAAACCCTAAAGCCTACGCTCCCTAAACCCTAGATTACATCCAAAGGAACCCTTAAAGGAACCCTCAGCCGGGGTTTATCGCAATGTTCCATGCAGGCTTTCCCCTACACTCTAAGTCCCGTAAACTCGGAAACCTCTTCAGCCAAGAGCTTCTCTCCATCTCAGCTGAAGGCTGTTACGGTTGATGATATAAGTCCTGCATGACCCATGATAAGGAATAGACCCTAATTCCCATAGTTTGGGGCCCTTAAGGTAATGCAGGATCTATATCATCAAGGGTATCCTCCCTCTATTGGCACGGAAGCAGTCTGGGGCTCGAGGCTTCTGTTTGTGCCTGCAGGGATTGCTTGGAGGTTCATGGGTAGCTAGAAGTAGGGCTATAGTTCCGACGTAATATGGGGTTTAACTAAAGTTATCCTTTTCTAAATCCGAAACTATAGCTGCCCATGAACCTCCAGGGTATCAGGCGAACTCCTTGTGTACCTTGGGCTCGATTCTCCCAAAGGAGGCTGTGCTGAAAGACCACATCCTGTACGCTATAAACCCTGCCTGTGATCAATAGGGCCCTGGACCTACGGATTTTATACTTGGAGTTTCATGGGTGGTTATTTGGTAGGGTCGTAAGTCCCCTAGTATGGTTTATAAGTTATAACTCTTGTTATCTTATTTCTACTCGCCACTGCTTAGAACTACCCGTGAACCTCCAAGTAAGGGCCTAAAGTTTGGAATTTAGAGGCCTCAGGTGCGAGAGCTGCATGCTCAGAGTTCACAGTTGTGGGTTTTATGCGGCACGGGCTTTCGGTTACGGCTTAGGGTTCAGTGATTAGGGTTCAGGGGTTTCGGGATACCCGGCCATGTCTACGAAACGCTTAGGAGCGCATGATTCGCAAAGCCTCTTAACCCTGAGCTTCTTTGAACCTGCAACCCTCGGCATCAAGACCGACTTATTCACCCTGGGTCCAGGACGATGAGGAGGTGGACGATGTATTGTTTTTTGTCATGGACTATTGTGCCGGCGGGGCCAATTGGCAAGGCATGTGGCCTGAACCCTAAAACGCCCTAAAACCAAAGGCCGTTAAGTCCAGGGTTTAAGGTTTCAGGATGAAGGGTTTAAGCTTCAAGTGTTCGCCCCGATCCCGCAAGCAGAATCTTATTTGGTCAGAGTGGCCAGCTGTGTTATCCTTCTCGTTGGGCATTTGCATGACACAAGACCTACGAACTCGGACTCAAACACCTGGGTAGAGGAGGCACGGGGCAGCGCAGACTGCTTCAGCCACTAAGAACGCCTCCAAACCGATAGAGTATCAGCTAGATTCAGTTAGTAGTTTATGACGACTTGACGACTTTTGCACACTCTTAAGTACATTCGGAATGCCGGTGCAATGAAGGAGGGCAGGATATCGCTTCAAGAACCTAAAACCCTTCACCCTAAACCTCGAACCCTACGGCGTAAGAACCGTCTGAGGATCTGATGATGTGGATGAAGCTTCGGGAGCAGCGCTTGGTGGGCGGTGCACCAAAGACGTATAGGCCAGGTCAGTTCTTCAGGGCTCAAGTTCCCAGACCTTCCAAAATCCCATAATTAAGGAATATACCTTAAATCATAGTAGGATCCCCAATATGATTTAAGGTCTATGCCTTAATTAAGGGATTTTGGAAGGTCTGGGTTGTTATTGCTGCCACCCCCCCCCCCCCCCCGATACTTTCGAGCTACGAGTCCTGCGACCCCAAGCCCTAAGCCCTAAAGGCCCTTAAAGGAACCCTTCAAGGATCCCTTAAAGGAGCCATTCAAGGAGTCCTTAAAGGAGTGCTTGAAGGCACTCCGAAAGGAGCCCTTAGGAACCCCTAAGGCCTGAACCCCAACTTTTTTGGCCTAACAGCAAAACTGCTAGATCCGAAACCCTGAACTCCGACCCTAAGCCCCCGACCCTAAGCCCAAGCCCCAAGCTCTGTGACATATAAGTCTCCTCAGCTTAAAACATAACTCGAAAGGTTAAGTGTAAGGCTTTAGGGGCTGTGCTTCTAAACCCCAAACCCCAAAACTCCCTACAGTAAGCTCCCAAACCCTAAACCCTAAATTTAAACCCGAAACCTCTGAACCCCTAAACCCCTAAACCGTAAACCCCCAGAGACCCCTAAACCCCTAAACCCACAAACCCTACCTATAGTCTCCATTGTAGTTCTTTTTTTTGGTTTAACCAATATTATATTAAGGATCCTAAAAAGGTAACCCCAAAAAGGAACTACAATGGAGACTATAGGTAAAGCTCTCTGAGCTCCTCCAAACTGATCCGAATAGGCCGCCTGAGACCTGGTTGGCAGCTGGAATCCTTTGGCAGATGTTGGAGGGAGCCTCAGTTTTAGGGGCCTCAAAAGGCGGGTTTAGGGTTTGAGGTTTAAGGTTTAGGGTTGAGGGTTTAGGGTTTAAGGTAGGTGGGATAATCCCAAGTTTTAAGGTTCCCCTAAGCCAGGTAGGGCTTTGGGGCAATTTTTATATGCTCTTATTGGGCTTAAGAGGATCTTACCTAATAGACTTTTCCAAAGGCTTTAAAAGCACCTCCTAGTAAGGGTCCATGTACTCTTATAGTATATACATTGGCCTTAATGTAGTCCCTACATAGGTACATTGGGGCCCATGTATCTCTATATGGGTACATGGACCCTTCGGGTTCAAGGTGTAGGGGGTAAGTTCAGGGGCCTCAAACGGCGGGATGAAGGTAGGTGGGTTAGTCCCAAGATAAGAGTCCTTATATAAGCGAATCCTTAATCCTACCTACCTTCATCCCACATTTTCAGGCCTCCAATCAGTGGGTTTGGGAATCGGGGTTTGCTTTTGTGTGTTTCCTTTGTGTGTGTGTGTGTGTGTGTG